GAACAGCAACGCCTTAAGGTTAAATTCCTCCTGTCTGTGCTCATCCCACGTACGTACACCGTTTCCATTCCATAGCTGTAAAAGTTTTTCAACTAATGGCCTTAGGTACACATCAATTTCGTTGTCGGGTTACTTAGGGCCTTGGATGAGAACTGGCATCATAATGAACTTCCGCTTCATGCACATCCAAGGAGGAAGGTTATACATACATAGAGTCACGGGCCAGGTGCTGTGATTGCTGCTCTGCTCCCCGAAAGAATTAATGCCATCCGCGCTTAAAGCAAACCATACATTCCTTGGGTCCTTTGCAAACTCATCCCAGTACTTTCTCTTGATTTTTCTCCACTGCGACCCGTCAGCGAGTGCTCTCAACTTCTCATCTTTCTTTCGGTTCTCACTGTGCCATCGCGTCAACTTGGCATGCTCTTCGTTTCTGAACATACGTTTCAACCGTGGTATTATAGGAGCATACCACATCACCTTCGCAGGAACCCTCTTCCTGGGGGGCTCGCCGTCAACATCACCAGGGTCATCTCGTCTGATCTTATACCGCAATGCACCGCATACCGGGCATGCGTTTAGATCCTTGTATGCATCGCGGTAGAGGATGTAGTCATTAGGGCATGCATGTATCTTCTCCACCTCCAATCCTAGAGGGCATACGACCTTCTTTGCTGCGTATGTACTGTCGGGCAATTCGTTATCCTTTGGAAGCTTCTTCTTCAATATTTTTAGTAGCTTCTCAAATCCTTTGTCAGCCACAGCATTCTCTGCCTTCCACTGCAGCAATTCCAGTACGGTACCGAGCTTTGTGTTGCCATCTTCGCAATTGGGGTATAACCCTTTTTTGTGATCCTCTAACATGCGATCGAACTTCAGCTTCTCCTTTTGACTTTCGCATTGCGTCCTTGCATCGACAATGACCCGGCGGAGATCATCATCATCGGGCACATCGTCTGATTCCTCTTGATCTTCAGCAGCTTCACCCGTTGCAGCATCATTGGGCACATCGTCTGGTTCCTCCTGATCTTCATCAGCTCCCCTCGTTGCAGCATCACCGTATTCAGGGGGCACATAGTTGTCATCGTACTCTTCTTCTTCGCCGTCTTCTATCATAACCCCTATTTCTCCGTGCCTCGTCCAAACATTACAGTGTAGCATGAAACCCTTGTAAAGCAGGTGGGAGTGAAGGACTTTCCGGTTAGAGTAAGACCTCGTATTCCCACATTCAGTGCATGGACAACACATAAAACCATTCTGCTTGTTTGCCTCAGCCGCATCGAGAAACTCATGCACGCCCTTAATGTACTCGCGGGTGTGTCTGTCACCGTACATCCATTGCCGGTTCATCTGCGTGCATTATATATAATTAAGTGTCCAAATTAATAGAAGTTCATCATCACATTAAAACCAAAGTGCATACATAGTTCTCATCTAACAACATATAGCTCTCCAGAGCATCTAATTAATTAAACCATACATTGAAACTATGTAAAACATTTCAATGTGAAAACAAATGCGATCATAATCGCAACCAAGGTAACAATTGATCCAATGGCATAATGATACCAAGCCTCGGTATGAATGGCATATTTTCTAATCTTTCTAATCTTCAAGCGCATTGCATCCATCTTGATCTTGTGATCATCGACGACATCCGCAACATGCAACTCCAATATCATCTTCTCCTCCTCAATTTTTTTTATTTTTTCCTTCAACAAATTGTTTTCTTCTTCAACTAAATTTAACCTCTCGACAATAGGGTCGGTTGGCATTTCCGATTCACATACATCCTACATAAATAAAATCTATGTCACGTTGGTCGGCATAATTTTCATAAACAATAAATAAACCAATAGTTATAAAGATAATATATATACCACATCCGAATCATAGACAGGACGAGGGCCGACGGGGGCGGATACCAAAACCATCGCACTATATAAGATGCAATAATAAAAGTAAGAAAATAACACAAGTATCTATGTAAACATACAAGTAAGAATATTTTTTTCTTTCAGAAAGAAGATAAGAACAAGGGGCTCACCATGGTGGTGCCGGCGATGAGCTCGGCGCGGGTGATCGACGGTGGTGAAGACTGGGACGGGGCGTGACGGACCGCTAAACCTAGACAAATATTATGGAAAATGGAGTTTGGAGGTCGAGCTTGGAGAGGAGAAAGCTTAAGTAGTGTGGCTCGGGCATTCCATCGGACACCTTGTGTGCATAGGAGGTGAGCTAGAGCACCACCAAGCCCTCTCCCCCTCGGCCAGAGAAAAACAGAGCACTGGGGTGCTCTGCTCGCGAGCGAGGGGTATATATAGGCACCTCATTGGTCCCGATTGGTGACATGAGCCGGGACTAAAGGGGAGCCTTTGGTCCCGGTTCAAGCCACCAACCGGGACCAATGGTGGTGGGCCAAGAGCAAGGCCCATTGGTCCCAGTTCATCCCACCAACCGGGACCAAAAGGTCCAGATGAACCGGGACCAATGCCCACATTGGTCCCGGTTCTGGACTGAACCGGGACTAATGGGCTGACCCGGCCTGGACCAAAGCCCTGTTTTCTACTAGTGTAGGTCTGTGGTGGTACCTGTCACAGCTGAGTTGGCGTAGTCGACCCCGGCTATTCAGGCACCGGTGTTGGCCCTTCTTGAGGCTGGTCATAGTGGGAGTAACATATATAGGTAGTAACATAGATGCCACATAAGCAAAAGTTGGTGAGGTGCCAAGTAGTTAATGAGGAGAGAGGCAAATAGAGTAACATAATATGTTACCATCACATAGCGCTTCTCAATGCAAAATGAGAGTAATAAATGGAGACATCTTTGTTACCACATGTATAACACTACCCACTATGAAGGTAGTAACATAGACTAATAACATATGCATATTCTAGTCTAAGTTACTCTCCACTATGACTACCTGATGCGGCGCTGGCAGCGTTCTCTGCGTTGGTCGGGATGCCATTGGAGGGGATTGTTGCTTCGGCTTGTGTGCATGGAAACACGAGGGACACTTCTCAAGTTGATCATGCTAGTAAAGGGGCAAGGAAGACAGAGAAATCTTATTGCTACTGGTGTGGTGGGGTCAGCACTTCGTGGTAGATTGTATCATATTTTTATAGGATAACTACTTGAAGTCGAGTCATGCTATGGATGGACGTCCATTTCTATCTATGCCTAAGACGGTGGTCATGGTCTCCAGTGTTTGTGATGATAAATTGTTATTCCTTGAGACCCAGTGCTCTAACTTTAGCATACCTCGGCTTGAGAGCGCCAAGACTGGGCTGGTGCGGGTCACAGGAAGTTCATTAACAGAGGAACATGTGACGCATCATTCTAAGAGGCCTATGTCGGTGGACTTTCATTGGACTCTAGTGCGGTTAGAGGAAAATGTGTATAATGTAGATTTTTCGAGGAAGGAGGATCTTGCTCACCTCATGTTGTTTGGTATTTCCAGGGTACCAGACAACACATGTTTCTTGGAGTTTGACGAGTGGTCGAACCAGGAGCCAGAGGGGACACCCCTGCGGGAGGTTTGGATCAGGTTCCATGGGGCTCCCTCAAAGCCTCTTAATGATTTCATGGAGACTTGGAGCTTTGGATCTTTGGTTAGTAGGACTGAGAAGGTCGACATGTTGTTTATGAGGAGGCATGGGATATCTCGGTTACTTGTAGGTGTGACCAACATTGATGCACTATGAGAGTTTGTGCCTTGGTAATACAAGAGTGCTGGGTATGAACTGAGATTAGAGGTTGAGGGTTTTCTGTTCCAGGATGAGGACCACAAACCTGAGGACGATGATATGGCTGATGGGGATAAGGATAAGGGTGGTGGACATGATGATTTGATGGAGCACAACAAGCGTGGTGCTCCCCCTGATGCGGCGGGGCAACCGCAACCTTGGGGGATGGGGGAAGCCGTCTGTGCCGGCTGTAGGTTTCGAGATCCTCCTAGGTTAGGGTTGGGGTTTGAGGGTGATCGTCTGACCGACACACCTTCTCACATATGAGTGGGCTCAGGTTAACAACCTGTTTCACAGCTCAGCCCAAACAATCGAGGTCCACAGACCAGCAAGATCAGCACACAGACGAACGTCTTACGTTCTGGGCTCACTCAGTCGCACTGTTTGATACTGTATACGTTGATGTATCCTATATTTTCGCTGCTTCCATCGATTTCTGCAAAACCCAAGTCAGGAACCAACACCAGCAATTTCGGGAGCATGTGAGCTCGAGCACTGAATTGTTGCGTCCACTATACCGCTAGACTAAGTCAATATACTTTGCATGGTGCAGCACGCTACCTAGCACTTTTAAATTTGTTGATAGTTAAGTATGCCGTTGAACGAAATGGGACATTTTCTGTACACAACGTACACACCATACTCTGATCGAACGGACACATAACGCTGGCCAAGTAAGTTGGACGGTGTAGGTGTTGCATCCGGCACCGCACACGTCAGACAAGAATCATCGTAGCAGAACTCGCTGTTGAAAAAACACTTTTACAGACTAAGAAAGACCAAGCGGCCAATAATGGAGGGATGAGCACGGCATATACCTTTAGCTGGGTTCCATGGACCCATACTAATCAATTAGTTAATCAACCGATCCTCAAAAAAAATTTAGTTAATCAACCAATTAACAAAATAGCTGTCGTTGCGCGTCACATAAAACAACTAGGGATTTCTTGTCAGCAAAATTTGTTTATGCTCCCATGAGAGGGACATCCATATTTGTTATATGTTCAACTACTAGTGCACAACCGGGGTGACACGCGCATAAAATAAAGAGCCATTTCTTCCTTCTTCCTTCGGAACCAAACTCAGAAGCAACCAAGGCAGGGATCCAACATCTAAACCGAGGCGACCTTTCTTGCTACATATCCCTCTGCATCACGACCTTGTACTTACTTGACTTCACCTTGCACTCCCACAGTCATATAGCTAGTTGCCACTTGGTTGCCTTTCTAGACCATCAGACCAAGAACACACAGCATGTGTGGAAAGATGGATGAGGTTCACCTCCACATGGAGCACAAGGTATGATTTTGTTCAAGCTGGCTGCTGGCAATCGATCTATCTTTGTCTTGTCAAAATTAAAATGCTAATTTTTGAAGTTTTGGTACTTGTCACAAAACAAAAATAGTGTTGACAAGTCGATTTATGTTCACCAATTTAGAGCCTACCCGGTGGAGAATTTGGAGGAGTTCGTGCCTCGATGTCCAAACCTCCGACGTCTAGCACTTCTAGGCCAAACAGCATGGTTGTCAAGGTAACTTGGATTAGTTTCTCGTCTTAGAATCAACAAAGTTGTTTTATGAACAGATGCATGATTCAGAGAAATATTTTGGCCCTCAATTTGCAGAAAGTGTGCCCACGGGAGTACATCCCGCCGCACATCGTGGCGGAGGCAATCTCGACGCTGCACGGCCTCGACCTGCGGTGGTCGGGGCCGATCACGCCCAGCGAGCGGCTCTACGTGGAGCAGTACGTGATGGCCAAGTACCCGCAGTACTCTCACGGACTCATTGAGGAGGAAAGCTGTGACAAGGACGACCTCTACTCCACCTACTATAGCACCGGCAGCATGTCTGCCTCGCCCGAGGGCGGATCCGGCGAGCGGCGGAGGCCGTCGCCGACGGGGTCCCCGTCGTCGGCGAGGCCTGACATCGACATGGTCAGGTTGGAGCCGTCGCGTCTGCTGGACATCCTGACCAAGAAGTCTTCCTTCACGGGGAGCTTCATCTCCATACCGGAGATCCAGGCCAGGAACAGGGTGCTCCGGCACTGCGGACTCACCGACGATGAGTACCTCGTGCTCTTCGCCGCCACGCCCAAGGACGCCATGATGCTGGTAGGTTCAGTTGCAACTTCCTCTTCTTTTTAAAGAAAAGGGTATCCCTCCGCCCCATTTTTATCAGAAACAAGGCAAGAAAATAACCCTCAGGCAGAGCCAAAGTAATAGTGATCTAGAAAATTCTTATCTTTCTTTACAGAAGGAGTAGATAAATTAATAGAGGTCCTTGAACTACTCTCTCTAAACTTCATTGCTTTTACATATGACGGTTAACTGGGTTTTTTTTCCATATCCTAAAGAAGGTTGAGAACCCCGGCCTTTGCTGGCTTGAAGAGAGTCCTAGTTTTCTAGTTTGCCTTTGAGCAGATTGTAACCAAATGTTAGTTGATTAATGAAGCTTCCAATTTCGATGCAAAAATTAAAAACCCGGCCTGTACATCATATTTTAAAGTTATCATGTGATTTATTCAAACGATTACATAATAGATGGTGACACAAATCCAAAAGACATACCAAATGCACATACGGCCACGAGGAGCATCTTCAGGAAAGATGCCGATAATGTAGGGCTATATATAAATCAGCAACCCTGGAATTTTTTTGAGTGGCAACAGAGTATGTTTTATTATGAGAATCTACAACATCCTATAAAATTCCTGCAAGCCAAAAAGGGCCTAAATGTCCAAGTACCTTTTGTTTGTCTTCACTTGCAATGTGTCTTTATGCTCATAGTAAAGCCTAGTAAGTATTTACTGCCTTCATTCAAATAAATAAGTCGCACTCATTTAAGATCTAATTTACCAATGAATTTACCCAATAAATTATGAGTTATGTGTGACAAATACATATACCATTGAATCCTTGAATTTGTATTCAAAAAAAGTTCTCAATTGTGTACTTTTAAGTCACGTAACTTATATGTTATTATTGGTCTAATTGATGGTCAAAACTGAATTTCGAAATATGAGTGTGCCTTAATCATTAGAATGGAGGGAGTATATAATTGGATCCACCTGAAACTTTGTACGCAGATAGGCGAGAGCTACCCCTTCTTCCGGAGCAACTACTACATGTCAATCCTAGCCGACGACCGCGACTGCATCCACGCATTTGCGGCGTACAAGGAGGCCAAGGTCATCGCGGCGCCGGAGTCGTGGCTGGATCTCCGCATCAAGGGCTCACAGCTCAGCCAGTACTTCCGCCGCAAGTCAAAACTCACGCACAAGGGCCTCTTCGCCTACCCAGCCGTCTCCGCCGCAGCCCCCGCCACCGACGACGGAATCGCCCCGCCACCGCCGCGCTACTCCATGCACTGGGTCTCCGAGGCGCACCGCAACGGCTGGCACGTGCTCCTGGACGCCACCGCGCTGGTCGTCGGCGAGGACCGGCTGCCGCTGTCGCTGCACCGGCCGGACCTCGTGCTGTGCACGCTCGACGACACGCACTCGCAGCAGCCGTCCGCCAAGGTGACATGCCTGCTCGTCAGGAGGCGGTCCTTCGACACCTCCGCCCTGCCGCAGCCGCAGCAGAAACAGTGAATGGAGTGGTGATCCGGTCTCGCCCTTGCTAACACGAACTACTGCTGTCGCCGTCTCATCGTGCGTGATGTGCTTGCATGTCCCGCAAAATAAAGCTGCATGCACGGATCTGCTTGTCTATGAGTAAGGGGTGTGTGTGTGTATGTTTGAGCACGAATTGTTTCGGGGTTTTTGGAAGACGGAACACATGTACATCTCAACTGGTTATGTTAATCGTTTTATATCTAATAAGGCGAAACAATACTCTATTTTCTTCCACATAAACGGAGACAATACTCCCAACCCTAGCCGTGGCCACCAAAACATCCCTAAACGTCGCCGCCTTGGTCCCCACTCCTGATCTTCCCTGTCCGGCAGCCTCGTTGTTGGCTAGAGAAATGGGGCTTTGTCCGTCTCGTTTTTTTTCTTCGTTGTTTCTCTGATGACATCGACGAGATGGTGGCAATGACAGCATGTTGGAATAATATATTTAAGATCTCTTCCCCATCTCGACGATGTCTGATCCAGCTTTGACGAAAGGCATGTGAGAGTTTGTGTCTTCAGATCTGTTGGTTCCCTTTAGATATTGGCAGCTGGTTTGTCTTTTAAAGGGAGTTATTGGCTGGCTACTAGTGCGGCGACTTTAACATCTTCTTTTGTGTTGTTTTGTGGCATGATTCGGTTCTCCAACCCTCTGAACTGACACTAATGAATTGCAGACATGTATTGCGTGTGGTGATGCTTCAATCGATGCTACTTCAGTGATTTATAGATCTAGTTTTGAAGGACGAGTAGCTATTGCAGTCTTCAAACTGCTATAGTGAGGGCGTTTGCAGGTGTCTCTTTCCTTTATCTTTGCTGTCTCTTTCCTTTACCGTTGGTTCAATGCAATATTTAATCTCCGATGGGAGATGTATAATCAGAGAAAAAAATGCTAGGGTGATTTACAAAGTAATTTTACTTTTACTAGTTGTTCTGCATCCACTTGTCTATTCATTGTGTTGGCTTTTTTAAAACATTAACAAGACCCAAAATGTCATTTGAGTGCCTTTTATTTAAAAATAATAATAATATGTCCTTTAATTTTGAAAGCAATTTAATGGGAGATGCATCACCGTGCATGTTCTCTATCACACATTTGTAGCGGTGATGCTATTGCGAATGTTAAACAGCAGTTGCCAGGTCTATATCTCACTTATTGCGAGAGAGAAACCTTAAAAAACGCTTATTGCGAGAGAGTCATCCATCTCGCCTACAGGACCAACGAGGTTGGCCGGCCCAATCAGTGTGTTACCAAGCGGTTTAGGCAGGCTTGTTTGTGGAATCTTCCACCAGTTTTCGCAGTTTCTGGAAGGTTCCAAACGGTTTTTAATCTTCTTTTTATGTGTTTTTATTGGTTTTCTTTCATTTTTTATTTTTGGTTTGTTTTTTATTTTATTTTTATTCTTATTGTTATCTTTAAATATGTCAAAAAAAATTAATACCGCCATACATTTTTGTACACCCGCTGAATAGTTTTTTGATACACGTTGATATTTTTACAAATACATCAAGCATATTCTTTTTAAATACATGTGTTCCTCTTTTTCTATAGTTGCTAAATTTTTAAGCGCATATTGAACAATTTTTTTAATACTTGCGAAACATTTTTTTAGATGCACATTGAATATTTTTTACAAAATGCATGACGAATATTTCTTCATATATAGGTTGAATATTTATCAAATACACGCTTTATATTTCTTGTATACATGTTGAACCTTTTTTTATCCGCACTGAACATTTTTCACTTACATGACTCAAATTCACCATCGAATACTTTTCAAATACTTGTTCAAAAAATCAAATACACGTTCAATATTTTGTAAATATATATTGAACATTTTTTAGTAGGCGTGAAACAATTTTCTGAGCAATACAAACATTTTTCCAAACCGTGAGAACAAAAATTTAACAATCCCCAAACATTTTTTTAAACACTGTGAACATTTTTTATACCCGGTTATACAGTTTCCATCGCACTTTTTCCTTTTTGCTTTCCTTTTCTTTTTCATCTGTTTCCTCTCTTTTTTTTTCAAATACATGTGAACTAATTTTATACACCCTGTTTTTTTCTGGTATACATATTTTCCATTTTGTACATATGTTAAACATTTTTAATGGATGATAAATATATTTTTGAAATAAATGTTTTAATGTATTTTTAACAGATAAAAATTATTTTTCAAATACCCATTGAACATTTTTTGGGATAGACGTTGAACATTTATTGAATACATGTGAAACATTCTTAGACACACCTAAAATGTTTTTTGAAAATACACGATGGACATTTTTCTCAAATACACGCGAACCATTTTGTATAGACTTGAATCATTTTTTTATACACGTAGATTATTTTTCAGTTAGCTGATGAATTTATTTTTCAAATGCATGTTCGAGCATTTTTAAATACATGTTAAACTTTTTTCCAAAGATATGTTGAAATTTTTTCAGTGGTATGATGCATTTGAAAAAAAATTACGTGAGCATTTTTATTCATCGTATAATCAGTTACTCAAAATGTCACGGACATATTTTTGAAACGCTTATTTTCTTCAAATGTCACAAACATTTGTGAATCTTACGAATCACGCATATTTTCTTTAAAATGTACAGATATTTATTGAGATGCATGCACTTTTTGAAAATATCATGAAATAGTTCTGAATGGTATGGACTTTGTTTTCCAAATTGTGTGAAAAATCTTAAACTCTAATAAAATTTTCAAAATTGTATTAAAATTGCAAAACATGAATTAAATTAATTTTTGGAAAACATGTATTTGTAATATTTCACATATTTAAAAAATGGATGAACAAAGAACCAAACAAGAAAGAAACGACAATATATGATTAACATTTTGTAACTTTTTTATACAGATTTAACATTTTGTAAATATATGATTAACATTTTTTTTTCATATGTACGATTTGATGTCTACTTGTCTTCATAAACGTTGTACATTTTTCATATACGCTACAGACATTTTTTATACATGTTTAACATTTTTCAAAGGCATAATTATTAAACACATGCTTTTGAACATTGTCGTTCAAATATGTGTTAACATATTTTTTTTTCAAATATGTCTTGAATTGTTTTTAAAATGCTATCAACTTTTTACTAAAGTTTTTTTTGCAGCAATTCAGAGAGCTTTTATTAACTCAAGGCGGACCTAGGACAAACAGCCATCAGGTTCGTCACTAGGAAGCTAGGAATCATATCAATCCAGCAATCGGTCACATTCAGTGTGCAAGCATGCTTGGCACAAAGATGTGAAGGAACATTTTCCGACCGATTTACAAGAAATACATCAAATAACAAAAATTTGTCAACTAGCTCTCCAATCTCAACTAATATAGGAGCCAAAACTGAACCAGAATTATGGCGAGTATTCCAGAGTTGCATCAATTCCAGGCAATCCATTCTCCATGATCACATGCGTGAATCCTCGAAGACTTGCGAAACGAGCACCCTCAAGCATTGCCAATGCCTCCGCTATGAATGGATCAGAGATCCCCAAGTAAGGTTTACACCACACTCCAAGGAATGTAGTACTCGAGCGAGCAATGCCAGCCACGCCACTACAATTTTCGTTGAAGTTGATTGCCCTGTCCGTTGTGATCTTGACAATACCCTGATCCGGCAGCCTCCAACTGTATCCTGGAAGAACTTTTGTTGCACTATGCGGCAACTCCAACAGAGCTAAAGACTCCCTGATAGAATGCAGCCAAATCACAGCATCGAGTCCGTCCTGGTCATGCTTTAATCTGTTTCGTGAATGCCATATAGACCATATAATGGAAATGATATTTTTGTCGGTCCTTGTCATCTACCATTGGGTGACATAAAATCTCTCTCGCCCACGAGTTAGGATGTAGCTTGGGCAGCCGAATATCAAACCACGCATGAGCTTATACCCAGAAACATCTTGCATGGGAACACAACATTAACACGTGTTGTAAATCTTCGTCCATAGCTAAGAAGATTTTGCATCTGCTTATTTGTGCAATCTGTTGTTGGTTTAGAGTGTATTCATCAGGTAGGATTCCTCGCAAAACTCGCCATCAGAACACTCGTACTTTTGGCGTCACATTCAACTTCCAAAGTGCCTTCCACATCTGTTGGTCATTCCCTGAAGTACTGGTAGTTGTCCCCTCTTCGAGAGCAAGACGCTCTTTTTGAATCACATTTTTTAACCGTGCACAAACATTTTTTAAATATAAGTATTTTTTCTGAATATATGTATTTGAGTTTTTTTAATATAAATAAGAAAAAAATTAAAAGAAAAGAAAAAATTAAATTGAGGAACGAACTAGGGAAGCGAATGAACGAAAACCGAAATGAACAAACAGAGTAACTGGGCCAGCCCATTACCACGTGGTTTCGCATGAGCTGACGCTCTATCTCGCTATGAGCGAGACATAGTCACTCCCATGCTCACGAGCGTCAAAATGCCAGCTCTTTGAATGCGACTACTAAAGCCCCGCAAAACTACATTCCTTTGGGAATCGATATCACAACCCCACGTTGGAGATCCGATGTTCCTTACCACTTGAGCTGCTGAGTGTAGGCAACTAATAGGTTGCGTGAACTTTTAAGAACTAAATGTAGTGGCAGATCCAATAAAAATAAAAAATTGACCATTTCTTGGAAATTTGTGAAGATTTCTTTTTTTAATGCAAAAATCATTATATCAATTGTTAGGACTTAAACCATTATGTTCTTGTGATTTACAACACTATCAAAAATCATGTGGGGGAATATATATGACGCTTTAATTGTGTCCAACAAGAATTATGTGCCTATATACTTTATCATGATGCCAATCTGCATGCCCAATTATCTTGGGCAGGCCCTTTCCCAGAGAACTGTTGGAATTATAAATATGAATGAAAGAATAATAAAATTCCAGTTCCCTGTGAGAACGTTTGGAACGTTTTACTAGGAAAGTACCATTGTTTAGTAACTATAAGTCA